TCATAGTATAAAAGCGGCTATTTCTGCGTAAAACAGACACGTAGGGTGTATTAATGAAGCAAACAGTGGAAAATATTTTAAAGAAATGCTTGTGTAAGTTGTATGAAAGATGGAGGGTTTTTTTTCTTTTTTGGTGCAGTGTCTTGCAATAACTTGGAACAATTTCACAGTAATCCCCAAGGCTGTGGGAAGCCATCAGCAGATGCTCGGTGGAACTGATCAGCAGCGAATAAGTACTCGGGGACCATGTTTCATCCAAGAACGGGCAGTAGAAATTCCTGCCAGGGGTCCTGATCCCAGGCTCCAGGGGAGCTTAGAGGCTTGCCTGTGATCTGCAAGAAGCGGTTTGTCTGTGCGCTAGCCTGGTGTCCCCTTCCTGCCTGTCCAGTCCTGCACATTCAGTTAAATTCCTTATTAAATTATCATACTGTCTTCGAAAAACTTTCTGCTGCTCGCCAAAATGTTGGAGCTGGGAAAAATGAACTGTTTACGGTGCTTGCAAATCGGCGGTAAGTCCTTCTGAACCTCAGTTGGTTACGCTCGATTTGAGGTGGTGAAGCTTGCTATGTGGCAATAGCCACTAGCTGTTCCTCGTGCGGGAGATTCTTCAGAAGGGCTTTGTATTAAGCCTTGATCCTCATAGGACCCGTTGGTACCCTCTGGGTATCAAATGCCAAAAGACCCAAGTGCCAAGGTAAAAATTTAGCAGATTCTAAAATTGTAATGGGTGCCTAATATGAGGCAAAAGTCGTGGGATTCATCTGACAAAAGTTGAGAAACAAATCTGCTGTTGGCTTGTAAGGCTAGAAAATAGGGACCAGCCCAGAGAATAAGGAAAAAAACCTGTGGAGAAAAGATTTTATTTCTCAGGAAAGGTGGTTTTTGGACCTTTCAAAATATTTGCCTAGGCTAGTGTCTCTCATCCAAATCAGGTTTCAGGTGCTGTTGGTTTTGGAGCTTAAGACCATTTTATCCTATCCTGTTAATGAGTGCGACTTCCTATTGCAGAGACTTCGAGACCTGTTGTTTGCAGCCTAACTGCTAGACACTTAAAATGGATTTCACTCTTCTCTGGGTACTTTAAGATCTGTTTACTGCTTTTTTGAGATGACTTTATGTAAAGCTCCAAGATAGAGAAATACTATATTGCCTCTTATTATAAGCAATGGCTAAAACACAGGCAGGGGCTCGTGTTGCTTCCAGGAAGATGTCACTGGATGTTTGGCCGAGGGTGCTATTGAGGTTCTTTGGCGCGAGCGTTTGGGCTGGGTTAATGGCACTCCCTGCCTAAATGGTACCAGACAATTAAGCAACTGTTTGCTGCCCTCCATCTGGGCACGTCGGCTTTCAGATGGCACATGTTCCGGTAATACGATGTTAATTTTTATAATTTATATGGAATGTAGGGTCTGGAATGTTTACTCAGTGTTAATTTCTGACTAAATGCCAGAGAGTGGTAGCACATGAATAGGGTGTGCATGCGGGACGGCCTTGAAGAGAAGGACTAGGGAATGGAATTGGGTAAATGTACTCTTGGGCTCTTGAAATCAGGCAGGGAGAACCTGAGATTAGGAGAAAATTGGTTTTCAGAGCCTTTTCTTAATGCATCTGGGCTGTCCTTATAGCACAGCTGTGATGGAGGAACAACTGTAAAACAGTGATAAACAAATGCTGGAGATGCTCTGTAGATTCATCACCAGAGCTATTCCGGCAGCGATGTACTCATTAGATGGATAAATAATGGGCTTTTGTCCTTCTGCAGGATGGGCTTCAGTAGGTGGTGGATGCTGGGAATGATTTTCTGCCATTGTTCATAAAAGAAATTTTATATGGTTGCTTTTACTGTTCTCTACCATTGATGAAGTTTAGCTGATCCCAAAGCTCTCTGATAATGCTTCGTGGGTGACTGCATTGATGTCAAGTGTAAATATTACCAGGAGTTAGATATGCATGAAAAGAGGGAGCTGAGACGCTAAACCAAGTGACATTTTAAAGGTACCGAAGTCACGGGCGTAACAAAAAGGCTTAGCTTTGCTCTTGGGTTCTTCCATTGTGCAGCATCGAACAAGATTATAACCTCTCGGTGAAGTTGTGCAGCGTCATCAGGGTTGAACTGTGCGGCGCTCTGATGCATAGTCCTGTTTTTTTATGTTTTAATGTGTATGAAGAGTTCTCATAAAGGCCAATCGCCAATATGTGGCAGGTACTTCTGCTGAGAGTAAGGTTAGAGGTGCTCTCATTTTAGGCTTGTAATGTTAATTTAGGTATTGCGTACCAATTTTGGCAGTGAAGTGACTTGCCTAGCGTGAGACCTTAGGGGGTGATGTTCTAGAGGAGTTGTTTGGTGTTGAGATTTCCCTCTCGTACCTGTAGAAGACGTGAAGTGACAGTTGCTTGGAGGTGGAATGTATCTTCCCTCCCTCCCTAGCTTGACATAAAATTAAGAAGACATTCATCTTTAGCCTTTTAAATAGCAACATTGAAATCAATAGGTGAGTGAGTCCTCTTCAAATGCTTAATGGATGAGTGGTTTTGGGTGGGGTTGGTTTGGTTGCTTATTTTTGTTCTGTTTGTGTGAGGGAAGCTATGGGAGGAAGTTTATTGTTTGACCTTAGTTTACATCTGTGTGAGACCACGTGGAGGCATTTGTGTGGACTTGGAAGACGCTGGCACGGGGATGTGGGGGGGAGGTTTACGTCAGTGTGTTCACGGCGGGATCTGTGCTGATGGCAGTTTTGTATGCGTATGGTGAGAGGTAGCTGAACTCTGAGTTAGCATCAGGGAATTACGTCTGTAGTTGATCTAGCATCACAGAGTGGCAAGAGCCATGCCAGTTAGAGCAAAGTAACTCAGTTGTGCTTTTTTCTTTTTCAGCTCTAACCTGGCATTTATTAAATTGTATGTGCAGCATCTGGTATTTGGCAGGCAAAACATAAAATTACTGACATCTTGCAGGGCTGTCTTGCAGGTGTGTAGACCTGAGTCCTGGTGGATCAGCTTTTACGTGGTTAAGAAGTCTGTATGTCCATGTACCAGGTGGCAAAACAGTACTAAAAATGCGGAGGCACTGTTCTTCACAGAAGAAAAGATACAGCCCTGCCTATAGAATAGTTTTTGTAGAAAGTTATGCCTCCTGATTCTGGTCATCCACCGATGTTATGTTTCCTACTTGATGGGGAAAAGAAAAGGAGCAACCAGATCGTCCTGAGGTTGGAGGAGGAAAGAACGGCTGGGGTTTTGAGCCGGTACTTCAGAAAAGAGAGGGAACAAAATGCGTAGGTTGGTCCGTGTGAGCGCGGCCCTGCGAGGGCATGTCCAGAGGGAGCCTGGGAGCGTGCGCCGGGAGAGGGACCGGAGAGGTCACTGAGGGAGAGGATGGGCGTGCAGAACCCCAGGTGATGATGTAGCAAAGCTTTGCTAAGCAGGGAAGAACTGGTCTTTCTAATAAGAGGTGATAAAAGCACGTAACGCTGAAAACTTAATTTCAGTCTAGTATTACAATGTGGAAAATTTAGAGTGACCTTTTTTGCCTAGAAACATGGGACTCGGAACATATGCTAAGGTAGTTGTAGCATGACATTTTCTTGAGGTTTGGATTTATATACCTGTTAATGCCACGCTTTTCGAAGCCATTTTCAAATTTTACTTTACGGTTGTATTCAGTGCATCAAAATCATAATGCTATTGTGTTGGAGAGCAGTCAGAACTTGGTGATTTTTGTTCTAGCATCTTGTTGGATCGTAGAAGCGTCAAACACACCAGAAGCGATTACGGGCCAAGTGAACTTGGGCAAGTACACAACATGAGATTGTTATTGCAGGATGAGAGAGGAGGAGAAGTCTTGTAAAAGGCCTTCTGCTGGGGACCGTCGGAACAATTGGGTTATGTCAGGGTATTGTTTGGTCAGGGCAATACTGAGTGAGAACCCAGATTAAACCTTCTGATATGTAAGGTGGAGCATTTGTGTCCTATTCTACACGTTTTTTTTAGTGAAGGGAAATAAAATACATCTGAAGACCATTAAAGGAAATGTCTGTTTACTTGGCCCTGTAAATGGAAATGCTTTGTCTTCAGTTGGTAGCTTCTGTAGAGGAGGCAGTATTTGCTGAGAAACGAAAATGGAATTTTCACTTCCACCAAAAAGCAGTTTTGTTCACCACCGTTAGACACTGTGTCTGTCACCCTCTGTGGTGTTCTGTGTCCTGTTGAACCGGCTGAAAAGACAGGACTGTGCGTCTGACAAAACTCTTCAAGCTAAAAGGCAATGGTGAGAATACAGAAGAGTGTAACGGGAGGCCTGGTGAAAAGTTCTGCCAGCCGCGGGCTGAAGATGCATCTCTTCTGCCTTAGAAAAGGAAACCCAGCTATACTGAAGGCCATAAAATAGTCTAGAATTGTTACTTAATAAGTTAATTTCTTGAGGTGTTGCGCTGAAGTGGTTTAAATGACAGCGCATAATGTAAACACTTTCAGAACTTGATTGCAAGAGGAGTTTTGTCCTGATAACTTGTGGTTGTCTTGGTGCTCTACTGTTTGTAGGTGGATTGCTTTTTCTCCCCATTCTCCTTGTGTTAGGCTTGGTTTTTTTTAATTATAGCACACTCCTATTCTTAGCTGGAAGGAAAATAAGAAGGTTTTTCCATTGGAAACTTAAACTGCGTAAGAGACCTAATTCGAGGGGAGAGGATGTGAGTGGGGGAGAAACATTTTCGTATTTTGACTTCTTTCTTAGCAAATATTTTATAATCTTAGGAAGAACCGCAACCAGCTGTTAAATATCTCACTCAGATGAGCATTTTCAGTTAGTGTAAGTAGTAAGGATTTTGCATGAGTTGGGTAAGCCAAGAATCCTTCCGACTGCTCAGTAGTTTGCCTTTCCAGCGGTGAACTCTGTCGCTTGGCTCCTGAACAGGCGAGTAGTTCTCTTCTCTTGCTGCAGCAGGCTTAGTCCTCTGGAAGAAGACAAATGGCAAGGCCTCAGATGAACAAAACCCACCCTAAAAACAGCGTTGGAGATGCACGGAGCGGAGCTGGCAGTGACAGACTCTGGCGAGGCAGGAGCAAACTGTTCCTTAGAACTGGGGAGGAAACTAGGAGTTGCCTTCCGCGTTTTGCCAAACTGGAAAGCCGCAGCCTGTGTGAGTATGGCTTGGAAAAAGCAGCGCTGAGGAGCAACATGCGATACTGCAGGACTGTCCTGTTGTCGGCAGTTCATGTTAGAGCCGCTTGCGTCGCAAGTTGGAAGTCATCCCCTTCAGCTTGCTGTGTTCCCAGGTTTGAAGGAGGAGGGCAAAGAGGCTTCTAAGGAGTGGAAGGAGGCTTCAAAGATGCCCTTGAGATGTCGTCTTGTGCATTGCCACAGCTGCCTGACAGGAGATTTTGTTTCGCTGTGGTATCGTTGAAGTGATAAATTGAATTCATTTGGAAAGTAGTTTTCAGCCCACGTTCCTAGCCAAACGAGGTGTTTAGGTTCAGGCTCTGTGCTAGTGCTGTACCCAGGTAAGGTTTGAGCTGGAGGCAGACTGCAGAGGGAGAAGTTGTTGCGCAGGTTCTTCACTTGTGGCGAGAGGATAGATGGGAGGATGGAGGGAGACCTTTCAGGACTCCTGCGATGAATTGGTCACTGTTCTGGTTTGTCTGCCCACTGAGATTCTTGGGGCACGTATCGGCAGGAATTGGAACTCGTGATGTTCGTGAGACTGCTTTGAAACTTTGCAGAGACATGTGAATCATAAGAATAAAATAAATTATATTTCTATCTTGATGAGCTGTATTCCATGTGGAAGCAGATTACTGCTGTACTACAGACAGTAGGTGCTTTTCTCCAAAAATGTTTCACGTTTTTAATTCTGGTGTAGGGGTGGCTGGCACATGTGGTCTGTTTGTCGGGCAGATGTGCCTTTAGATTGATTTTTAGGTTGAGATTGGGTTTTATATTTTGATTTCTTTGATTTTTTTTTTTTTTTTTTGAAGGTTTGGATTTTTGAGGCTGTTGAGCTTTGTAGGGGTGGGTGTTTGAACTTGATCTAATAAATGGTTCAGTTCATGGGCTTGGGGGTGTGTTTGTGGAACTCAGAGGAGTGTCTTCTCTAAAGTACTTGACCCAGTCCTCCTTTAACAGGGCAGTAAAACACAGATGGATACTAGAGGCTTTTCTCTTCAATATATCAGTCTCATCTTTAATTTCTCTGTGTATTGCAACCAAAACAATTTAGACCACTCGGCATCCGTTTTCTGAAAGAGGCAGATGTAATGGGTTGCATATTCTGTAGGTAATGTTTTAAATAAATCTTTTCTTGAGCAAGATTCTGTGAAGCCCTTGTATGTTGTGTTTGAGTTGGTTATACCTGGAACGTGTTGCTGGTCCTTTTTTTTTTTTTTTTTTTTTTTTTTATGTTGGATTAGGAGACATCAGGCTTCAAAGTTAAGTGAGACAGCTGAGAGAATTTTTTTTCCAAGTCGGAAGACAACTGTCGATGCTAAAATTGTGATGACTTAGTTTTTCTGGTTTTGTGTGCTAGTAGAGTTTAATGCCATTTGAGAGTAGGTTGTTTCTTTGAAAGATGACTGGGATGTGTGAAATAGAGTAATTCTGTCATTGTTACCGTATCTTTCACGCTTTGGGGAGAAAAAGAACCGCAAAGCAACAGCTTGCATGGAAACTCATGGCAGCTACTACCTTTAGGCCTTCTGGAGTGATACCTATTCTTTCACTTTTCCCTCCCTCTGTGTTAAGTTGGACTTGAAAACTGCGGAGTGCAGTGTGGAGATGCAAAGTCAGTCTTTAACTGTTCTGGTCTATCGTGCGGCTTTAGTCAGAGAGCAAATGGAGATGATGATACATACAGTCTTGGCATGTAAAAATCGCATTGCTTCCATTGATAAAATAATACCCTTTTGAGTTGACTGAGGATAGTTTGGCTAACAAAGTACTTGAAAAGCAAATGCTTAAGTGATAATAGCAGCTGTGGGGTTTTTGTGTTTAAGTATGTTTTGGTCAGTTGCATCATTCTTAAACCAGATCTGTCATTTTTCAGGTGGAATCGTTTATCTTGGATCAGGATGATCTGGAAAACCCAATGTTGGAAACAGCTTCTAAACTGCTTTTGTCAAGTACTGCTGATGGTGCTGACTTGAGAACAGTAGATCCAGAAACCCAGGCAAGATTAGAAGCTTTACTTGAAGCTGCAGGTAAGTCTTCGTGCCCCATACAGGTTTAACCCCAAAGCCCTTACACATGAGACCATACTGGAACTGCTTGCATAAGTCTAATCCATATGAGCACGATACAAATGCAGAATGTAAGGCGGTGTGAACTTGGCAAGGTTGGGCAAGTCACTGAAGAGAAAGAAGTTCATTAAAGCGTTTGATTTTGGAAAATCAGAGTTTCATGTGAAGGTCGTGCTTCTAATCAGGTTTCTCCAATGTTGGATTTCTAAAAGCCTGAGTAAAAATTGACACCTGACCTTGGCTTGTAGCCTGATATCAAAACCTAAATTGCTCAATGAAGCTTTGTTTTGTAACAATTACTGCATGAAAAGCTTTACTAGTTGCTTATACTAAGTAGTTGTCAATAGCTGAAAAATAATGCCTTCTGTAGATTAGAGGGTTTCGTTCACGCGCATCACATCTGAGCGCAGCTTTTAAATTAGCATCGAAAAGAGTAAATCCTTTCATTTTGAAAGCTGTAGTTCATTATGCTTGGAATGTTTCTGCCAACAGATCTCATAGGCTCAATTTCAACTTCTCTGTTTTCTCCTTTTCTGGCACGCGTACCAATGTGTTGTAAATTGGAATGAAAGGAATAGGTAAGCTGTCTACAGCTGATGGTAAAGCATTTGCAGATCCTGAGGTGCTTCGCAGACTGACGTCTTCGGTCAGTTGCGCTTTGGATGAAGCTGCCGCTGCGCTTACCCGGATGAGAGCAGAAAGCACAGCAAATGCAGGGCAGACGGACAAGTAAGCCACATTTTATACTGGGTTTTTCTGGGAGTTCACTACTTTCTAGAAGCAGCTTCTCTTGTATCGCTTCCGATTACGTGATGTTACAACTTACTCAAGTGGAATTAGTGTCATGTTACCGCTTGTGATTCTCCCGCTAAATGTTCTTTGACTGTCAGGTCTTGTAGTGGGGAGTGAAGCAATTAATGCTGCTTAGAATTCAGAAATCACGCTCCAAGTAATTTACCTTGACCAACCACAGAAACCAAGTTTTTAAACTCCTAAGTATATGGGCTTTAGAAACAAACCGAAAAATAGAAAATCCTGAAATGGGTCACACTGTGATAGCATGAAACTAGCGTTGGGATCCAAAAACCCCCCAGTCTGTTGTTTTAGAGAACTTTGGGGAGCCTTTTTTATTGAGGAAGGAAAATGGCCTTGAGGGACGGGCGCTGTCACGGTGCTCAGCGTCGGGTAGGACCTTGGACAGAGCCAGGGCCAGTGCGTTGCTGCTTTTGAACTGGACCGTCTGGCTTTGTGGGGTTTTTGCCTTACTGGGATGTTCGCGAGGGAAAGACAAAGAAGGTTCCCTTCTAGGCTATCGGTAAGCTTCAGTACAACAGAAACAGGGTTAGCAGGAACAACCGAGTGCTGCTGTGCTGGTTGGCAGTTTGTTCCCCTCTATGCTGAGTAACTCCAAAGAAACATTTGGTGTGTTGATCAGGATGTATGAGGAAGAGCGAAATAATACGGGGTTAGGTCGGCTACCGCTGTTCTTGTGAGCGGTGGCTGTTGCCAAAGTTGAGACCGGGACAGAGGATGTGGGAAATAAAACGGTTGTGGTTTAACCCTGGTTGGCAACTAAGCCCCCGTGCAGCCACTCGCTTGCTCCTTTCCCCCCGGTGGGATGGGGGAGAGAATCAGAAGAGTAAAAGAGAGAAAACACATGGGTTGAGATAAAGGCCCTTTAACAGGAAAAGCAAAAGCTGTGTGTGCATGCAAAGCCAAGCAAACCAAACCAAGGAATTAATTCCCTCTTTCCCATGGGCAGGCGGATGTTCAGCCATCCCCAGGACAGCAGCACTCCATCACATGTAATGGTGACTTGGGAAGACAAACGCCATCACTCTGAACGTCCCCCCTCCCTTCCTCCTTCTTCCCTCAGCTTGATATGCTGAGCATGGTGCCATATGGTCTGGAACCCCCCCTTTGGGCAGTTTGGGTCTGCTGTCCCGGCTGTGCCCCCTCCTGGCTTCTTGTGCACCTGGCAGAGCATGGGAAGCTGAAAAGTCCTTGACTAATATAAATACAACTTAGCGACAAGTAAACTGTCAGTGAGTTATCAACATTCTTCTCCTACTAAATCCAAAACACAGTGTTATGCAGCCGCTAGGAAGAAAATTAACTCCATCCCAGCTGAAACCAGGACAAAAACTAAGTGTGGGAAATGCAGTCAACAGATGTATTTGAGAAATAATTCTCCATATATCAACGTTGTGTCTGGTGGCACAGATTAAATAGGAATCCTGGGTAAAATATACAGGTATAAGTTAGTCCTTGCTACAGAAACACCCACTTTTAGACCTTGGGTATTTTAAGAGTTGCTCATATTCGTGTTGAGTTATGGCTTGCAAAAGTTTGCTGTTGACTACCTTATTTTTCCATTCCCTTTTGAGTTAGTTCTGTGTTGATTGGGACTTCCTTAATGGAGGAGACATAAAAGGGTGGTGGGTGGGGTCAGACCAATAGTCTTGGATTTATTATTATTGATCCAATTATTTGGAGCGGAACAGAGGAATATGTCAGACCTGAATTTTAATTCTCACAAAGCAATACCTGTTGTGGAATGAAGGCAGTGCAGACAGCAGATGGAATCGGAGGGTTTGGAAGTGCGTTTCCAGTAGACCCTTTTTTGACTGAAACAGAGTCGGGTAGGAGATAGAAGTGAAGAAGCCATGGAGTGATGCAGGAATCACAAGTCCTCTGGCTTAGGCCTTTATTGAACCAGGAGAATTCTACACTTCTCTGCTTGGTTGAGTTGGGGCCACAACTGAAACATCAGATTGCCTTACGGAACTCTGGCCTTTTCAGCACAGGGCAGAGGGGAAGTGATTCATGTTGCTATAGGAGAAGAGGGATGCAGGTCGTTCGTTTTAATTGAATTAACAGTTACAGTGCTGAACAAACATTAAAGTGCCGGTAAGACGGACAGGCAATTTCGGTGTCCTCTGGTCCTGGGGCAAAAGAGAACGTGAGTGCAACTCTGAGCAGCGGTTGCTGAGTTGGAATGGAATACTCAGGGTGACGTAATTACCGTAACTTAATCAGGTCTACTCTTCTTTGGACCTTACTACAGAAACTGAGTGGGACAAAACCTGTGTTTTCAGACTGGAGCTACAAAGCAGGAACAGGCTGAGAGCGTGTATTACGTTATGATGAGTAACATAAACCAAAAGTGATTTGTATTTGCAGTCCTATATGATTAGTCTTTTGAAAGGGAAAGTTATTACTTATTTCTCAGATTGGTAAATGGTTTCCAAAAAAGGTTTTATGCTTTGCAGGACATTACATGGTGCTGCATGTATAGTGCTGAGGCGGTAAATTGGGCCTATGGTTATCTCTTCTCTCAACATTTTCTGCTTAGGTTGTACATAATGCAGAATTAGGTAACCTGAATGGCATCCTGCAGGTATTTCTCTTGTAAATATCTGTTAAAAAATAGTAACAGGAGTCACTGAGTATGCATGGGACTCAATTGTTGGAAAAGTTAAGTGGAAACCCTCAAGTGTAAAAATGGCACCTCTTTAATTAGCAGTTGGCGCTTTTTTAGGTTGAGTTTCCTTTTTGTTGACCGCATCTTCGTGGCGTGTTGGATTTTTACTTTGCACGTAGAGTGAGCATTTGAAGCACAGTCCAGTCCGTTTTCACTTTTAAATGCTTTCTATCTTATTAGCCGCAGCTTGGCAGAGGCTTGTTCAGAAGGAGATGTAAACGCTGTGCGGAAGTTGCTAATTGAAGGCCGAAGTGTGAACGAGCACACAGAAGAAGGGGAAAGCCTCCTTTGTCTAGCCTGCTCAGCAGGGTATTATGAGCTTGCACAGGTTGGTTTCCTAGCTGTTCTTAGTATGCATGTATTGTACAAAAATAAGTGTCGAATTAATGTATTCCAGTCTTGGGCACCTAGAAGGCAGTGTTAAGGTAGCGGAAAATGTCAGTTAACTGGCAAATGAAGACTTACACGTAAGCTGAAGGTTGCTAAAGCATTCTTTGTGCTTTTATTCTTCTAAGTGTTTCTGACGCAAAACTGCGTGTCGAGGGAGGTGGGGGCTTTGTGTAGCGTTTCAACCATCTTGACGCGCTGGTTTGTCGCTTGCCGGTGTTGTTGATCACCCGTCTGTTCGCAGGTTCTTCTGGCGATGCATGCTAATGTGGAGGACCGTGGTATTAAAGGAGACATAACACCTTTAATGGCTGCTGCTAATGGCGGACATGTCAAAATTGTCAAGTTGCTGCTAGCTCATGGTGCTGATGTGAACGCACAGTCATCAACAGGTAAATAAGCGTGTTACAGCTTCTTGAAAACTACTGAAAAGCTGCAATTTGCAGCGTGTGGGGAAACTTTGTGTGAAAGTTCGGGAAGAATGGCTTTCAGCCAAGCAACGCGGAGTGTTTCCTTGTGGTTTTACTATTTAGCTTTTGCATTTTTTTTTAATGAAGCTGTAAAATATTGGTGCAGACGCACAAAGGTGGATAAGGTCAATTAGTAACTGAAAGGTATTGGCATAGGTAGGATTTGTGGTCACATAGTATAAACAGAGTTTCGTAAGTTTTTGTGTTCATAGAAAACAATTTGGTGTCAGGTCTAGGAAACCAAGGGGAAAAAGTAAACATAAGAAGATGGCCCCCTTTTTTTTCCTCGTTCTTTTTTTCTCTTCGCTCGCCCGCGTCTTTCCCATGGCAGTTTGGTAGGCATTTCTGTTGAAGTGACCAAATTGGGAAATTTTCTTAGTTTGTGCAGCACTGAAGTGGCAAGATTGTGTGTAGTCAACAGTCATTGGCAAAGGGAGCACTGACCCTGTGTGATGAAGAACGCTGGGATACCAGAAGATGCCTTTTTTATTTTTTTTTTTTCTCTTCCCTGTGGAGTAGTTCTGAGTGGTGATACTGCTTTGGCCTTCCAACTTTTTTTAAGGTACCTTTCATAAAGGCAGATTCTTTGACTGTTCTGTTTAGACGCGTTTTTGTATTTTTTTCCATGGAGGTTGTTTTCCTCTCCTTGCAAGGACTCGGAACACTTTTGAACCAGCCCTTTAGAAGTGTTTAAGACTTGATTTAGAAACAGAAGTTTGTTCTGCTCCTTGTTCTGAGCTTTCATTTTTTTACAGCGTAGTATGTCCCTGCTGATTCACAGGAAAAGGGATGGGGTTTTGTGACAGAAGCTGGGATTAGCCGGGATAGAGATGGGAAATGCATCAATGCAGTCCCCAGGTGCATGGAGATCCTCAGCCTGTCAGTGCTGAGCTGCTTTGTGCAGTTATTTGCTTTTTTCCTTGCCCTGTAGTTCTTGGTCAGTAGTCTGAAAAAACCCTGTTCCGTAAGGTAGCCAGGTAAAAGCGATGAAATGGCGCATAAGCTGAAGTTCCCAGCGTAGAAATGCTGTCAAATTCTGTTTTCAACCCTTTCTCTCTTCTGGCTTTAGGCAATACAGCCCTTACGTACGCCTGTGCTGGAGGCTATGTAGATGTTGTGAAAGTACTGCTGGAGTCAGGTGCCAGTATCGAGGACCATAACGAGAATGGTCACACTCCCCTGATGGAAGCGGGAAGTGCCGGCCACGTGGAAGTGGCCAGAGTGCTGCTGGAAAACGGAGCAGGCATAAATACGCATTCCAACGAGTTCAAGGAGAGCGCGCTTACGCTGGCCTGTTACAAAGGTATAGTACCAAATACCATGCAGAGGTGTAACGGGTGTGGAAAAGTGCAACGGGTGTCAAAAGTCTTCTTAAATGCGTATACATTCAGTCTTGCTGTCCAGGCCAAAATAAAGGGAAAGGCTATGAATAGATGCTTTCTGATGTTTTAATCCTGGCTGTGATGCCACGTAATGTACATGCACCATATGAAAAACGATGATCAGCAGTGTGGAGTGTGCAAATATCAGGATACAAACCTTTTGTCTGAGTCATTATGGTGCTTTAAAAGATTTTCTGTTAAACAAATTAGGAGAGGAGGAACTAAAACGCTTCACCACAGACTAAGTATGGTAAACTTCCTGCATTGTAGCTGTATTATACAAGATACCTCTGCTTAGGTACAGAAGTTATTTAGTTTTAAAGGGCTTAGCTCTTGGAAAACACAAAGAATCTAGGGCCTTGTCTTTTTAGGTGTCAGAGCTTAAGCGATAGGCGGTTCTTGCCTCCCTTTAGAGTATTAGGCGGCTAGCTTGCATCACCCAAGCAAGGGATGGAGACATTTAATTAAGAGGGCAAATGTGTTCACACAGCTGAGCACTTGCTGTTATAGTCACTTAGGGCATGTTTTATTAGAGCTATTAGAGTGGCTCTTGGCATCATAGAGCAATTGATGTCGGTAGCAGAGGTATTTCCGTGGCACCTCAGCAGAAGATGGTTTCAGTCTTTCATTTATGTTTCTTTTTATGTGCCTTGATAAATCTTTGCTTCACCATTGCTGAATGCCCTCGTAAGCCACGGTAACTTTCTTCTGTGGTGGTTGTCAGAGCAAAGGCTGTGTTTGAAAGAGGAGAGTGGGACCCCAAAACATTCCCTCCCTGAGATGATGTGCTTGGGCTCTGAATCCTGAAGTAGAGTTGGAAGGCAGAGATGAAAAATGAGAAGTCTATGCTTAGCCAGTTGTGCACTGTGATATATGGGACAAAATGAAGTAATTCAGGCTTGTATGGTTTGCACCTTATCCATATATGATTTGTCTGTCTTGTGTGCATTTCCGTGTTGTCCAAATCTCATGTTTAGGGCATAAAAATAAGCTCCTAATTTTCTCATGTTGTTTGCTTGCTGTAGTAGAATGGTATGTGATATTTGGGACCAAGAAAGTAACTAACTTCTCCCAAATCAAGGGGGACGGGTGAAAAAGCAATGTTGCCCTATCTTGAGCAGTGTCTGTACTATTCCTGGTGTTGCTAGGTGTAGTTCTAGTTTTAACATTTAGCCATGGTCATGTTGAGTTATGAAGTGGCAGGTTTTTTGGGTTTTAGTTGTTTTCTTTTTTTTTTTTTTTTTCCCTTTGACTTGGTTGTATACGCTTGCATATTGTGTTGGTCATGACTGTCTAGCGAAGTTGACTGGACTTGGCACACAGGACTTGGTGAACTGTAGCCATGAAGGAATGGAGTGGTTGAGAGCAAATAGTTTCAAAAAGCAGTTAGGTGTCCTTATCTTGGGAGGATTCCTATAAATGGTTGAATTCCTAAGGGTATGCTTGGAAGTGTGAAGGTCCATCTGCTTTGCGTGTTTTATGGCCCGAGAGTCAGTGTGAGCTCAGGGACTGGTTACAATGCCATTTATAAAAACAGTCATCCTAAATCCTTAATTTCAAGCAAGTAGAGGGTAAATCCCGGCCTCCAACAAAAAACCCCAACATTCTGTAGATGAAAAAAACCGCAAATATTGTTGCACAAAATAAATCACCCTGGTAAAGCTCCTGGAGCATGTGCTACTCGGCTCTAGTGTCACCTCAGGGAATGCACGTAGGGCAGATGTGATTTTGGAAACTAAGTGAATTGGGTTGTATTTATGCTAACTAAGCTTCCATGTGCATGGAATGCATAGATACGAACATGCCTTTCAAGAGTGTTTCATGGGATTTTTTTTTTAATGTTGTACCATGGCCTTCTATTACCTTTATTATGTACGTGAGGCCCTTTTATGATTTATGAAATGCACTTTCTAAAGTAGTTGTTATGTGTTAAATATTTTCTCCATTCAGGCCATCTGGAAATGGTGAGATTTCTGCTGGAAGCTGGTGCAGACCAGGAACACAAGACAGATGAAATGCATACTGCTCTCATGGAGGCTTGCATGGTAAGAGGTGTATGGCTTGAGCAGCGAGGCAAGGTGTACTCTCTCTTCGCTTCCTCAAAATGAACAAAGTGATTCCTTTGGGTCGTCTCTTCACGCAGAACCTAACTATGGGATGTTTCGCTTGTCCTGTCTACTTGATGGCCCTTTCGCAGAAGACGTTGCAGGGGGTGGGGTGGCTGTGGAATACCTGGTTGAAAAACAGTACTTCCTAAACCAGCAAAATCGAACCTATTCCTCTTGTGGCGAAGTATTTAAGTTCTTAAGAGACATCAGCTAAAACTTGTATCGCGTGAGCAATAGCAGGAGAGCTCTATTAACCGTCCTTTGAATAAGTGGGTTTCTGTGTGCCCAGCTGCACTATACTTTTTTCTGAAAGTGGCAGAAGTCGGTGAGTAAGGCTGTGCTCGTTGTGCCAGAGCAGTTTCTGTAGGCTACATCGCTCCTTGTGTTGTTACTTGTCACTTGCTCTTTGCTTTTTGCCCTTCTGATAATCTTGGAGGCCTGGTCTGAAACGGATGTTTTTGTGACCTCAGTTAGGAGAAATGAGTGACTTAAGGATGGCCAAAATGAAAATGAAGCGAAATGGAGCCAAATTAGGCTCTGTTTGTAGATACCCTCCCACCCCCCCCACCCCCCCAATTTTCGTTGTGACCCTGGATTGCAGCAGGCTGTTGTGCACCACTTAGTGCAGAGGTTTCCTCTACTGTTCAGGATGCATAGCGGCAGCACGCTGACGTAGGTCAGTAGTTTGTTTATGCCTTATGCCAGTGTGTTCCAAATCCTTCATCTGAGTGTGGAACTTAAATGTAAAACTGAAAACTTGTCTCTTAGGTTTCCTTTTTACCCTCTGCTCTAAACAGATTTGTCACAGGTTGGGTTTTACATGTCAATTAGCCTTGTGTATTATCACGTTGTGAATCTGTGGCCATAAAGGAGTGCCGTAATCCTTATTTAGTCGTCCCTTCCCTGAAATAACTGTAATGGTTCCAAAATCAGCTAGTTATGTCTGTTCAAGGAAGCTAATGGCTTCAGGTCGGGGAATCATTAACAGAAACCCTTACGCTTCTCGAGAAGTCGTTAGAAAGGCAGGCACGCAGATAAACAGGACTTCAGCTATTGTTTGTCTCACTCTGAAATCTTAGTAGAGTAGCTATATAAATATCATGGGCGCTGTCCTTGCAAGGAGTTCCCTGGAAGGTGGTGATAAAATTATCTTGCTGGATGTTGCAGTAGCCTTTTCATCAGGATGGCTTCTTGACAGATCAGAAGTTTGCAGAGAAAGCTGCTGTTGAATGGAGCAAGCCTTCTTTTCCTTGCCACCCTTTCCCCCTCCACCAACAGACTAACAAAAGTCCATCGGACTCGTGGAAATATTGAGACTTTTTTTTTTTTTTTTTTTATTAAGACTTACTGAGCAATAGGGAAAAAATCTGTCTTGCTTATTTCTGTAGGAAACGGTTCCTAAGTAGGCATTTCAACACTGCTGCTCAGGAGTGAGAGCGTCAGTGCCTTCAGCTCGGCTTAAGAGCGGGAGCAGCTTTCTATAGCAGTATGTAAAAAGCTTGCAGTCTGAAATAAAGCAGTGCAGGGGCTTCCCATCTCAGCATCTTTTTTTTTTCTGCAGAAACAGTTGTCGCTGATCAGTAGCAGGAGAAAACTGCCTTCCCTAGAATAGCATTGAACTTGAATATATGTTACCAAATAGTTTACATGTGGCACAGCACTTACATACAAGCCAGTGAGACTGTTTAAACCTTGTCCTACACGGCATTTGGGAAGACTTCTGATGGAGAGCTTTTTTTATAGACAGCAGTTAACCTTGTTTTAAGGCAAATGAGTTATTGGGCAACGCAACTCGCCTTGTGGGAGCAAAAAGCAGGTTTGTCTAGTTTGCGCTTCCTCTTAACTGGAGTAGCCCAATATTCCACAGTGAGGGCCGGGTACTGATTGCCCACGGTGGCTGGTCTTCAAAAATACGCCTGGTGCGCTTGTGCAGATTGATCAGATCGCTTCGTGATCTACTAGCAGTTATGAGGCTTCTTCTAGCTTCTCGTAGAAGAGCTGAACAGCACCACCCCATTGCAAGGTTTGTTAAAGCATGGATAATATTTCCTTGTGTGGCCAAACACCGTCGGTTCCTCTCGAGGCTGCTTGGCCTGTAGAAGCAGCTTTGAAGCATACCTTTATACTGCTGTTCGCCATGCTTGTCGTGAATCAGGGATGATCAGCGAGCTGTCTCGCAGAGCCTGATGGTGGAAGCACTGTCTCTGCATTTCCCCGAGGAAAGATTCTTTATGGAGTCGTGGAGTTTTCCCCTAAAATAGTATTGTCATTTCATGTAAGAGGTGAATATGTCCTAGTTAATGTCCTAGATATTTCTCTGAGAGGGAATCATGTTTTGCTCCCTGCGTATCAGCAGAAAGTATAAAACGCGTACGAAAATGAAGCGTAAAAATGTCAGATGCAGTTTTGTATTTTGTCTGGAAGAGCTCTTTGCGGTTGTGGTTTCGAGCTTGGCGAGGATGGCGATGGCTGCGATTTGCTGCCTCTTACTAGTTAATCTGAGATCAAGGCGTGCTTACCTTGTTCAATGACAACCTTGGGATAGCCTCGTGTTGCTGGTAAGCTGCTGTTTTTTCTCTGCAGCCCTCCTGTGTTTTGTGTGTCGGACTTCTTCCCATTATGGTTACTCCCAAGTTTGAATGATGACAATTTCCTTCGGGACAAAACCAGCTTGGAGAGTTTGTGCTGTTGTTGGACCGCAATGACAAGCTGGTCTCTGCTTCTGTCTAAACAAAAGCAGAATTGAATAGCAGTTGGATATGTCACTGTCAGGCCTCCAGTGTAAACATCTAGCTGAGAAGCTGCTTCAAATAGCTCCCGAATTTATGGCACGCTAAAAACATGATGAAGATCATATGCTCAAACACTTTTGTTTCTGAAGGAAGAAAGCAAGCTTAGGAGCTATGTTTTGGTAAAATGAGTTCCATGGCATGATAATAGTATCTGGAAGATCTTGCCAGGATCCTGCCAAGGGCAGGCTGTAGTTCAGGTTGCTCCTGCGAGGCATGAGGAACCCCTGACAAATGGCCTTGTTTTGGCTTTTCTCTTGGAGGGAGAAAGCAAGTCCTGACTCTGCTATTAAATTGAGCAGTGAAATAGTTTTGCAGGAGCCAAGAGGCAAGCAATGCACGGCTTCTTTTTAAGAAAGGAAGGAAGCAAAATTGTTAAACTTAAATCCTGCCTCTCTTCCACCTCCCTCCCCAAAAGCTGGCTGAATCTGTAGTGTAAATACTCGGAGACGCTAACAGTCTGCATGGATGGGAGAACAAACTGTATTCCTGACGTGCCTTGTTTTGGCTTTCTGTCACGTGTTTGCAATGTAAAGGTCTTGTAGTCCTTAGGAAGAACATGAAAACCTGTTCTTGGATCCAAGAGAAGGTGGTTGGGGTTTTTTTTGACTGAAATTGTCATGATACTCCTTTATTTGTTAGAATGCTTGTGGTGGCATTAGCAAATTTGTTGGCAGAAAACTAGAAGAAATACATTTGAGTGGTAACTTACTTCTTGGCATTTGTGTTCCTTAGATAATTTTGCACTTAGAGTTCTGCGTCTGCAGTCTTTAATAAAGAGGAGTACTGGGTGTTAGAGGGTTTTGGTATTGTTCTTGTGGAGGAGGCAAGCTTCTAAACCAGTGTTGAGCTCCCTATCAACTGTTTGGGTTTTAGGTTTGTTTGCATTTTTTCCCCCAGCTAAGCTGATCCCCAACACTTGAACTTGAGTCTGATATGAAGAAGCTGACCAGCTTGTTACGTGCACCATCGGCAGGAAAGTTTGATACGTCGTTCACAATACTTTAGTTTTGAATTGAACGTACTCAGAAAACACACTTGAATTTTTTGCAGGTGCCTATTTAATAGTAGATCGTCAGCCTTTATCCAGATACTTAGAAAAAATATTTAGGAAAACGATGCAAGTTTCATGATATTTTTGGATTTCGTCACTCCGTTGTTTCTTTCTGTGTCTTCTGAGGGAATTTGCGTTGGTGACTACTTAAAGCTTTGGAGAGGAGGAGTAATTTTTCTATTTTGACGGTCTTTTGATCTTGTTTTTCTGAATTCCTAGGATGGCCATGTGGAAGTGGCGAGGTTACTTCTTGACAGCGGAGCTCAGGTGAACATGCCTGCTGACTCTTTTGAGTCTCCATTGACTTTGGCAGCCTGTGGTGGGCATGTCGAGCTGGCAGCTTTGTTAATTGAACGTGGAGCCAACTTGGAAGAGGTGAACGATGAAGGCTACACACCACTCATGGAAGCAGCTAGAGAAGGTCATGAAGAGATGGTGGCGCTGTTACTTGGTCAAGGTAATTATTGGGGAGCCTTCCGCGGACTGTAATTCAACAGGCATTTGCATATGCTAGGAGGGGAAAAAACCCCAAAGTTCATGTAATTGTTGCTTCATTATTCTTCAGCAACTTCTGAACTTCCCGCCCCTCTCCCCCCTGCTTTTTGAGCAGTTGGTGGTTTGGTTTTCATTGTGTTTGGGTTTTTGGTTTTTTGTTTTTCTGTTTTTTGTTTTTTTTTTTTTTTTTTTTTTTAAAAATTTCCCTTTTTTTCTTTTTTTTT